AAATAATATTTAGCGACAATAATTAAATTAATTCAGGACTTTATATTTTTACAGTTTCCTTCCAGGATTATGGTTTTAATTTATTTAAATTAAATTAAATTAAATTAAATTAAATCTCTGTTTAGGTTTAACCCGGACCGGGCCCGGGGCAGGACTCACCCTGGCAGGGGAGCCTCGGGTCCCTCCACGGGGAACCCTGCATCACTCCGGGCCAGAAGATGGGCGCCCGGCCCGGCAGCTCGGCCAGCGGCTTCGGGTACCGGGACACGGCCGGGCTGAAGTACATCCCCGCCGCGGTGGCCAGGCCGTTGATCCGGGGGAAGCCGGACAGCAGCTGGCCCGCGGCGGTCAGGGGTCTCCCCAGGATGTCGCTGATCCCGTGCGGGGTGCCCCCGGCCAGCTGCGCGCCCAGGCCGGCCAGCGGGGGCGCCTTGAAGCCGGCCCCCGGGCTCTGCTGCAGCGCGTAGGGGAACAGAGACGTCTTCATCTCGGTCATGTTGTGCAGCGCGGCCAGCGGCGTGCTGCCCAGAACGAACGCGCTCTGCCGGTTCGTCTCCATCGGCCCGACCGCTAACATGGGTGACCCGGAGCCGAACCTCCTCAGAACCGAAACATGAAGAGATGATTAAAAAAAAAAAACACTTTTTAATAAAAGAAACTAAAATCCTGAAAGAGGAGAAAACTCTGGAAACTTCTCCTCCTGGAGGTGAAACACCGAGAAAAACACCGAACCGTGTCCGGGCTGCAGGGCACGACAGGCGGSCAGAGTCCTGGTTCTGGTCCGGTTCTTCACTCACTTTCATCGGAACCATTAAGAATGGACCGGGTTCGACGCTGGAGCCGCTGATAACCAAGGCAGCCACCTGCACGCACTCGCCTCCCATTGGCCGAGGCCGAGCGAGGCTGCGCTCTGATTGGAGGAGGCGGAGCCCCCGGTTGGTCCGGTGCTGCCTTCACGGCCTGCCGGAAACGGGATGTTTCACGGGTTTTCTGCCGCTCCTGCTGAAGGTCCAAACAGCAGCGAGACGGAACCAGAACCGCAGCGGAACTTTGAGCTCAAACTCAAAGTTTTTCCTCATGAAGACTTCTGTTCGTTACAACAATCAATTATTAAACTTTTAGATTAACTAATTTAAGGAGACAAAAATCGAGTCANCTGTAGATGTTTAAATAATCTGTAGATGTTTAAATAATCTGTAGATGTTTAAATAATCTGTAGATGTTTAAATAATCTGTAGATGTTTAAATAATCTGTAGATGTGAAACCATCCTAAAGTTTCAATCTGGAAGAGATCAGAATCCAATATTTGAAGCATTAATCCTAACTTTAATCCTAAATTTAATCCCAACATCAATCATAACTTCAATCCCAAATTTAATCCCAATTTAAATCCTAAATTTAATCTCAGTTTTAATCCTAAATTTATACCCAACTTTAATCCGAACTTTAATCCTAAATTTAATCCCGACTTTAATCCAAACATTAATCCTAAATTTAATCTCAACTTCAATCATAAATTTATACCCAACATCAATCCCAACTTTAATCCTAAATTTAATCCCGACTTTAATCCAAACATTAATCCTAAATTTATACCCAACATCAATCCCAAGTTTAATCCTAACTTTAATCTCAAGTTTAATCTCAACTTTAATCCTAACTTTAGTCCCAACTTTAATCCTAAATTTAATCCTAACTTTAATCCCAACTTCAATTCTAACTTTAATCTCAAGTTTAATCTCAACTTTAATCCTAACTTTAGTCCCAACTTTAATCCTAACTTTAATCCTAACTTTAATCCCAACTTCAATTCTAACTTTAATCCTAACTTTAATCCCAACTTTAATCCTAACTTTAATCCCAACTTTAATCCCAACTTTAATCCTAACTTTAATCCCAACTTTAATCCTAACTTTAATCCCAACTTTAATCCTAACTTTAATCCCGGCCTTCACAATGGTCTTATGACCGTCCATCTTCCTCTTCATCACATTCCTGAGGTTTCCTACAAGGTTCAGGTCTGGAGGTCGGACCTGGACCTGCAGGTCCTGGTGAAACCCTGACCTGGACCTGCAGGTCCTGGTGAAACCCTGACCTGGACCTGCTGGTCCTGGTGATCGGGTCAGAACCTCGTTAGGCAGAACGAGCTGACTCAGCAGAATCAGCAGCGCTCTCTTCATTAGTTCCTGAGCTGTGTGTGTTTATACTGACATCTATGTACTTATATGTGTGTACAAATATAAGT